ATGTGTGTTTGCTCGCAATAACTACTGAATTTTATGACCAGGATTGAGACACAGGGTACTTTTTATCCCAGAAAAATTTCAGGTTCCTGTGGGATTTTCAAAAAACTTGATTTCACGCGGACGAAGTCGCGGGCGGCCGCTAGTATTCGAACATAACTAAGATTTTCCCTCCAAGAATTTAAAATGTCAACCATACACAGTGAAAAGACTGTCACTGTTAAAAAAAAACCACTACAAAAGTCTGGGCTCCGCGGGATTGAATTTAGGCCGGCAAGGTGAAGATGGCTTGAGCGGCACATTTTTCTGCCATTGCCAGTTTTTTTCAAACGACATCAAAAAGAGGACGGAACCTCCGTATCCGACTTCTTTGTTTGTCGCGACTGGACGCCACTTACAATTTGACATCAGCTGGGGTGGGGTTAATTTCATTTTTATCTACAAATATTGTAACAAGAATTGTTATTATATTTATTGTACAGAAATAATGAAATTTGAAACTTATACTGGGGAATAACAGCTTAATTCAGTCTGAAATTTCTTCCGGTACTCTTTCTATATATTAAAACGAGAAATTTTTCTATAAATAAAAGCGACTGGGAGATGTCAGTCCGCATAAACATTTTCCTTCAACATACCGAATTCCCGTTTCGTGGAAAACAACAAAAACACGAGCGGCACTTAAATTTATACGGTTCATAAGTCTGATGTTCCTGTCAATTATTATATTATAGGAAAGCAGTGAAAATAAAGATTGCTTTTTTATTATTTCCTTTTATTGTCCCCGTGTTTGATGAAACGACGATAAACTTAAAGTAACTTTGACACTGCAAATATTGTAGCAAGGAGTTTAATAACGCGTTCGTTTCGCGATTGTTGAAATTTTGTAACTTCCATATTTGGCGGTTATTGGATGGGTGACAAGATTTTTTATTATCTTTAGACCGTTGTCCCACTGCCGGCGAAAAAGCGACGAAGTATCGGCTATTTTCTCGCTTAGGAAGCGTTCAATATATTAATAGTTGATCGCTGACTGTTCACACTGCCACGGCCGGCGAGAACTATCTCCATTAGTTTAAGTCGCGTCGTGTAGGGGCGCTGCTTGGGTTTTCATAGAAACTTTCACGATGCGATGCGATTACGGTACTCTTAGTACGAACCATTATATTGAATAGTTTGCGAGTCCGAAATGTCATTGTTAAATTTTGTATGAAAACTTGAACATTAGCGCCATAACGTACGTAACGAGAACTAAAAATCAGTACACATTTGACAATGACATTTCGTACTCGCAAACCATTCGAATACGATATTGGTTCGTGCTAGCGGTACGGAGCTGGGGCCTCAGTACATCGTTTTAGCATCATCATCATCATCAACAGCCTATCCTAGTTCACTGCTGGACATAGGCCTCTCCAATTGCACGCCACTCATATCGATCTTGGGCTACTCGCACCAGCTCCTGCCAGCCACCTTGCACAAATCGTCACTCCATCGTGCCTATACTACGTTTGCTTAGACGCGGTCTCCACTCCAGAACTCGTCTACCCCAACGGTTATAGGTTCTTCGGCAAATATGGCCACTGCCACTTCAACTTGCTAAACCGGTGGGCTATGTCGATAACTCTGGTTCTCTGTCGGATTACCTCATTTCTGATGTGATCCTTCAGAGAAACGCCAAGCATAGCCCTTTCCATAGCGCGCTGAGTGACTATGCATTTTAGCATAGTATAACGCAATCTTTCCCGACTTTATTGTGAAACTTTCTAGTTGCCTGTTTTATGGTCACGTCACGTTTTATCTTTACCGCGACTCATTTAACTGTCTGACGCATAAAATCGCTCGTTTCTTGTTCTAGATATAAGTGTGTTTTACTTCAGTTGCTTTAACTGTCTCAGGGAGAAAATATTTCAACGCGGTAAAAATGAAAATCTGTACGATGAACGTATAAAAATACTAGCTGTGCCCCGCGGTGTTACCCGCGGTTTATTAGGGATATTTTCCCGCAGTAAAACATAGCCTATGTGTTAATCCAAGGTGTCAGCTAAATCCATACCAAATTTTACTAAAATCGCTCCAGCCGTTTAGACGTGAAGAAGTAACAAACATACACACTCACAAACTTTCGCCTTTATAATATTAGTGTGATTAGTGTGATTAGTGTGATTAATAAATATTTCCAACACACACCAATTAGCCTAGCCGCAAAGTTAGCACTGTAGGCTTCTGTTGTGGGATACAAGGGTAACGGATAGAATACATATACTGATACATATATAAGTATATTTATATAGAAGTACATATTTATCATCATCATCAGCCTATTAATTTCCCCACTACTGGAGACAGACAGAATAGGCAGTTTGGTCCATGACCCACCACGCGGATTGGCGGGTGCTAATGACTGTAGATGCAGCCGGGACAACGGCATTAGCATGCCCTACGAAGCACGGAGGAGCTCGAGATAGTAAATTTTTGGTCACCCATCCTATGAGTGGTCATTGCAAAAGTTGCTTAACTTTCACAAAGATTCCAAACCACCTCGCCATTGAGATTTTCATATGTAATAATAATAAATTATTTATTTGTTTCAATATACAATTCAAGGTCCACATCAGCAAGTCGTGACAATAATTTAGTTTAAAATACTACTAGCAATTACATAGTATCATAATATTGTACTTGCCGCCACGTATTGTTATTTAAGTAACCACCGCGGTGGTTACCGTTTACACCTTTCCTTAAAACGCTTTCGGATATGAAAAGACTTTGCCGCAAAGGAGGAGGCAAGTCATTTTTTATTTCGAAGCGGCAAATACAAACCGTCCCCTAGTAATAGCATTTCTAAACAAAGGCAGAAACATGTGCAGGCCAGTGTCCCTTAAATAACTACCACGAGTCCTGATAAGAGTTTTAATTTTCTATGCAAATATTCCGATATATTTACTTTAAGCAAGGAAACAAAACAAACATATTTCAAATCCCTTACTCCGCCTATACTAGTGAGTAATATGTAATACGTCTCATAATACTAGTGGTTGCCCGCGGCTGCGTCTGCGTTCAAATATTTTTTTACCCATATAAATTTTGAACTCTTGTTTGGGGTAAAACAGGGAGTGAGTTTTGAAAAATCCTTTCTTAGCGCACGTCTAGATTATACAAAATAGCTATATGTGTGCCAAATTTTAGCGGAATCCTCAACGGACGGCTATTAGAAAAGATCAGTCAGTCGTTTTACATAGGTATACAGATAAACTTACACTTGCCCCTAATACCTATAAATACGGAATATGAAGTTTATTTTCCTTGCAAACACAATAAATGCTATGGATTCACTTACGTTTCAATGCACACACAACTTCCTTGCCAAATCAAATTCGTAAGGCAATCACGAAACAGATGCAAGCTCCCAATAATATTTCGAGTCATAAAATCAAGACCATGATAACATGACGTGTATTTATATATTTATATCACGACTAAAGCTCAGCAATGCCTATTACATTTTCGCAATCGATTGAGAAGCATTTATTAAATAACAAAAATTCTAAATCAGTCAAATAAGTCAAATTGGAATAACTTGAGCTGTGGCTGTTAGTCTTGACATGTAAATTTCAGCCTGCTAAATCAACGTTAACCCAACAAATAAAAAATAAGACGTCATGTTTTAATATTCGGGAGCCGGCAATTTACTAAGCTAACATTACAGACACTACCATATTGTGAATAAAACTCTGTGATAAAAAAGACTATAAGAATAACGCTCACATTATTTTAAAAGGTCGAAGCGACCATTACTTTATACATGAATTCCTGTAGACCTTCCTGTTGTTTACTATCAATCAGTCAAATCAGTTTGTAGATACCTCATACAATCACTTCGTTACGAGTACAATATCTTATTAGCTTCTGTGTCAATAAAATTATGTTACTTCAGTTTGTTACTACGTAGAAGATATGATATATGATTGAATTATCAAGACTGTTATACTAAGGTCAATACAATTATGAGATCAGTATTGTAACAGGATTTGCAAGAGGAATAATTTACGTAATTATTAATATTATTTACGAAATATAGCACTTATAAGAGTCCCAAATAGGGAAATAATATTTGCATGTATTTGTTTACACTTGACTAAAACGAAGTACCTAATATATTTTTTTTAATGGAGAATGCAACATATGCTTTGTCTGTCATTTCGACTGACTGTTTTTTAATACTAAATACCAAGTAAATGCTCACCGAAATTTGATAAAGTGGTTGCGGGATCAATTCTAAAAAGGCTATGCAGATTAGAAACACATAAAAACAATAAGTAGTAGCGATCATAAATTATTTTGCATTTAAGTCATCGTGATTCTCAACTAAGCTAAAATGTGCAAGTCATCCATGAAACCAGCGGCACCTCAACACCCTTTGTATGAAAACTACCAGTCACGTGACTTTGTTGGCTTGCATAACAATTCCAGACTTAATTCTGTTAGAGATCGTTTGTGAGTTAAACTTGTTCTGAGCCTGTAACTATTGTTGTTAGTAGGCGGTAACTTTTGAATTCTCATGAATAATTCGCACGGATTATCTTTGCAAATTCATTTGATTCAACAGTCAAAGCTTATTAATCGTGTTAAGAAGAATTGATCGCACCAAAATATCAGTTGGTTGGTTGAATAATAAATTGGATACAGAAAATTGTCCTTGCCATTCTCTCCAGCTTGCTTCGAATACTGTTTCATCATTTAATTTGCTAAAGGTATCAAACACTGAAATCCTCTTTCTCTGTTTCAGGTGGTTCGTGGTTAAGTGTATCAGTGTAACAAGTGATCAAAGTTGAGTCTAGTGATATTTAACAGTTTAATCGTAATTTCGTAAATTAGTGTAACATTCAACCTCTATCGCGAATCGGAAAGTAGTTTTTAACATGCTGTACGCGTGAACGCTGTAAACACGTGTGCACCGAGCGGAAGCACAACGCGAACTGGTACAAAGCAACGATGGCTAGGCCTGAGGTTGTGCGATGAGGCGGCTGACGAAGAGGAGGGGATGGATGAACCCAGCGCCGCCAAGCGACCCTCCGTGCTAACTATAGACCGGGCGGCGTTCCTTCTCTTGAGAGTCAAACGAGCTTTTAAGAAGAAGAGGCAGCAGCGAAAAGAGAGACAGTGAGTATTGGAGAACTTTTAAAGAAATTGTAGGGTGGCAAACTGTTACTATTGTTTTCAGTCATAAGCCTGTTAAGTGTAGTGAAATGTCTAAAATTTTTTGAAATTGACATCTGTACATGGTTTTAAAGTGCTTTTATTCTTACTCTCCTACATGAAGTTACTATTCCGGACCCAAAGGGTAAAAGCCGAACCCCATTACTAAGATTCTATTGTTCGTATGCTTGTCTGTCGCCAGGCTGTTGTATCTCATGAACCGTGGTAGCTAGATAATTGAAATATTTACAGATGTTGTATTTCTGTTGCCGCTATAACAACAAAAACGGAATGTAATTAATATAAGTAGGCTCCCATACAACAAACTTGTTATTTTTGCCCCATTTTGCTCGATATTATAAAACAGTGTCTAATGTTGTATAGATAATTGTACGGAACCCTTCGTGGGCGAGTCCGAGTCGCACTTGGTCGGTTTTTAGGGTTTCGTTCCTCAAAAGGAAAAAACGGAATCCTTATAGGATTACTTTTCCGTCCATCCGCCCGTCCATCCGTCCGTCTGTCAAGACCGTTTTTCTCAGGAACGCGTGGAGGTGTCAAACTGAGATTAATACCTAATATCCAGGTCTACTGTCCCTTGGAGCTGTGAAAAAAACAAACTTCTAAGCTAAAGCAGTCAAAAGATACAGCCGGTTAAGCCGCAAATTGTCGAAACTCGCACAGGAATCAAAACCCGTGAACTTAGAATTTGGTACGAAGTAACGTCTTATAGTACAGATAAAGGAAAAATTGCGAAACTTGTAAATTTTTACATCATATAATAAAAAAATATTTTTTAATAATTATTAAAATATACCTACAGGTTTGTACGGAACCCTCGATGCGCGAGCCCGACTCACACTTATCCGGTTTTTTTTATTAACTTACCTGTAGTGGATGATATTAGTACATTACTAATGTCTTAGCATATTATATGTATAATACTTATTTATATTTATCCATATTGATTAATGTAGGCATTCTAATGACATGCTGACATCTTGCCAGAATTAATATCGTAGAATGAATTCACTTGGTAATGTTTGGTAAAGTAATTGAAATTTTCGTGTTTGCTTAAGATTCCTTTAACGAATCCCTTGGGTGTGAAGATTGGATTTATGATGCGATATTTATCTTAGATTTAACCCTATTGATTTTCATGCTAATCAGTTTAGTAGAGTTTGTATTAAAGCGCTGCGTCCAAATTACTAATTTCTAAAATATACAATGTAACTACAGTCACATATTTTAATTCGTTAACCGCCATTACCTGTACCAGCGGATAAAATACCGACACTCCGACGGGATGTAAATGAGTTGATTCCACTTTCCTGTCACGTAAAGACTTACTCAGGAACTGGTACACAGCAATCAAAATACACGGCAGCCAATTTAATTATCTCATCATACATAGCTGGTTTGTTTTGAAGCGATGTGCGAGCGTCTCTAGTGAAATATTCAACACTACAGTAGCAGATTCGAACAATGGCTGTTTGAAACAAGCGGGTTTGTCAACTGCTTCATTATGTCGTGATCATCCATTCGGATAACATGTGGGTGTACCGTAGGCTATTATTACGCGAATATTTATGTATTTTTTTTGGAAAATATTTTAATGGACCAATTGATAAAGTGTCAGACTGTATGGATTATGAAATTAGTTATATTTAGAGAATGGGAAATTTCATTATTATTACTCGTGGGTGGCCTGCGACTTTTTCTGCGTGAAATATTTAATATCATTTCACGATTTCATCCCCTAGGGTAATACAGAGACAGGCTGTCGGGTAGTTACTTTGGCATTTATAAAAGGCGATTTTCACACCAGCCCGCATTACGCTGCGGGGTGCGTGGCAGATGGAGCCACGCGCGTGGTTGCGTGAGTGCAGGTCTATAACCTCATGCAAATTTCGCTGCACGAATGGACGGAGCTGCAGTATAGTATATGGTGGCTCAGCCTCATTTCAAAGCAGCTTGTAATAGTACAGTCTAGGCAGAACATTTATTTCTATGTTAAAATGGTTTATTAGTGGAGACCTCATGACAGGATGCTGCAGTTATATTATCTGTTTGGTGTCGGTATAATCAGATTAGAAGAAATGTTGCCTAAAGAAGATATTGGGAACAGTACACCCCTTATTACGAATAAGATGGATAAATTGGTCATTTGTTCAGAAATTTTCAATTATTTGTAAAATCACGCACCATACTACAGAACTTGGTGTGCCATATCTGCGTTTTGCCCAGACGCTCAACCCCGTGCGTGAGTGCGTGTTTCTCTGCATGAAGGCGCGTGGTCTGCAACACTGCGCGTGAATGCATTTTCAGTGTGTTGCACTACGCATGTTTCAATACAAAGAGAGCTGTTGCAAGCAACGTAAGAATACGCACTCCCGCGCTACGCAACGTTGTGCGTGGCAGTCTGAGAATCGCCTTATTCGCGTAAGTTTTTTACTGTTGCGGTTGGGGTTAAAATGGGCAACGTGGCAGTGTATTGCTTGCCCGGCGACAAGGAACTGTACGTAGGAAGTTCTAAGATGACTCAATAAAACATCGGAGGAATAATTTAATTTCAATTCTAAATTTATATAACATTATTAAAGAGCATTTGCGCTACTACTACCAGTCGGTATCTGTCCTTTATTTGTATCAATGTTTCCAACTTTCTTTGTCTCCTGCTTTTCTTGTGCCGTCAGATCTTTTTTTACCGACGACACTGACTCGGTAGGTTTAAAACTGAAATTTTTGAAGTCATTTCTCAATTCTTTACCCCCCACTATTTGGATCGATTCCTTTTTGAGTTGATTACTTTTAACTGGCATAAGCACAGACTCTTTCTTTTTTGGGAAAAAGAATATCTCAACTGCTTTTGTTTTAGGCGGTGGGGAATATTTTGCGCTTCGCGGTAGCAAGCTATCGAATATGAAATCAAGCCCGTGTAAGTTATTATTATTGATAGGGTTTACTTTCATACTATGCTTTGGACCAAGTTCGAATGTTAAGAAGTCGTCATGCTCGTGAGAGTCGCAGCACAATGTTGACGTCATAGGCTCTTTGTAGGAGAACAGATCGTTGCTCATCAATATCTTGTTGAGGAAATTCGACGGTTTTTGTACGATAGGTTCCTTGAAGTCTCGCAAGCTAGAGCAGGGGCACGGTTCCATGACCGGTTCCGATTGAGAGAACAAAAATGAGCTAGATGGTCCCAAATAACTATCAGATTTCATGGCTGAATCTGTAAAGCAAACATTAAAAAATGACAATGTGACTGTAACACAAATGAAAAAGCGAAAATAAATGTTATGTTGGTAGTATTCAAAACGAAATTAATCTTCCTTTGAGTGGATCAATTTTTTATTCAAAGCGTTTTCTAGATTACGCAAAGCTATATCTCTTCACTAAATAGTCAATATTATATGAAACTTAGAATGTATTTCATTTGTCTTTCACAGCTTATTAACAGCAAGTTTCTTTTAGTATTCCCTGTGCACTTCTTAGATAAATGATCCTATTGCAAAGTCATAAAAACTTAACTAAATCTACAGAGTCGAAAGGAATTTAAAAAAAGTGTGATTTCAAAAATACAAAATGGGTGGAGTCTGAGAAGGTAGTAGTGGTTTAGAATTAACAGCACTTACGACTCTACACTCCAGACTTGTTCCAATTATTACCGAATATCGTCATTTATTTGCTTACCTCTAGCATCGAAGTAAATTGAAATATCCATTTTGCCAAGATTGACAAGTGAATTGGTAATAGTAGGAATGGTTTTGAGGTTTCTTACAGCGTCTCGACTCTCCCCAATTGTAGAAATGGCGAGACACCCTATAAGCGTGGTTAACGCCTCAAACGCCATGTTCTGAGGAAAAGAAAATTCCTTTTTAGGTTTTATATTTATCTGTCATCCGGGATGTGCAACGGTAGCACTCCTAATTTTTCTTCAAATGGTCCTGTGTTCCTATCCTGGTACGGGCATCCATGAATATTTGTACGCGAATACTACAATTACTATAATTATTCTATATATTATTTAGTTACCGTAGTACAAGCTCTGTTTAGTTTGAGATAATTTTATGTTCCCCATAAAGACAAACATCTTTTTTAATTTTTTCGATTACTTCTTATACATAAACTTAACTTATTTATAACAATTGTAATGCCTTCAAAATAATTGGACTTTTTGTGCTGTAGCTTTAGGCGCTTACATAATTTTCTTAAAGTTATAATCCGAACAAAAGATATACACGACAAACAAAGTAAACAACACCGAAGAGAATTATAACTTTTTAACTCGCAAATGTGATTCGTTCCGTTTCGAGAATGTAGCAAACTTTACCATGCACATTAATAAAAGTCTTTAATAAAGCTAAGCAAAAGTTGACAAACTGAAATTGACTTACAGTTCGGGCCACAACCGCTGCAAGAATAAAGGTATTATTGAAATTCAGCGCAAATAGAATTGAGGGCTATTTCGCAACATCGATTCTGCTTTAATGACTTTCGGGTTTTATGTTTTAACTTGCGAAATTTAAATTATTGGACGTATTGGACGAATTTTCTATGACCACATTTTTATGGATATGCCAGCTGTTACATGTATTTTATGAGCTAAACGTTTAAAATAGTTGAAGCGTGGATTGTAAGAACGTAGTACGGTTAATGTTCCCGTCCTTATAAATAATAAGTCTTTTACCAAAAGTAAAAAACCATAGTTTAAGTCTAAAGAACAGTATAACTAAGAAAAATTCCACTCGGTGAAGGTATCTGGTAGATATGTATATAAATCGAGCAAATTAATGCTTAAATGAAAATATAATAAATTTAGTTTGAGTTTTAAATGTTATTAGAATCTCTTAATGACTTTAGTTTCACTACAGAACAATTGCCATGAGTTTTTATTATTTTAACAATAATAATTTATTAATTTTATCTCAATGTTACTCGTGCGGAGCTGGCGACCAAAACGG